CATGGATCCCTGCAGGGCTTGCTGAGCCTTGAGGGGTTGGTATTAAGAGAGTCAGCCAGAGCTGCTTTAGAGAATGCTGCCTTTGAGCTGTTAGTGCTTCAGCTCTCAGCCTGACAGAGAAACAAAATGGAAATCAGTCAGGAGCATGAACCAAAGTGGAGGTGCTCCTGGTACCAGTGGAAGAGGCAACCCAGGTGCCTTTGCAGAGGATTATGGATGTCAGCTTTTGTGTTTCCTTGGTGAATGAGTCACTGTGGCTGTGCATCTTCCTTTTTTAAACATTCATAACAGCATTTTTTTCCATGTTCATATGACTACTTCCAAATACTAACTTCAGATACATCCATGTGGACTTTTGCAAACCTGTCTGAGCCCTCTCTGCTTTCCTAGATAGAAGCCAGCTTTGACCCAGCAGACATTTAACCTTGTTAGTGCGGTCCAAAACTTGGCCTGATCTCTCTGTCAGAGTTTAAAAGCTCAAGATCAGATTTTTCTGGCTGGCTTTCCATTATAATAGTGGTCTTTTGGGCAGATGGATCAAAATAGAGGCAGACAGAGCTTTAGTTACTTGCAAAGTAAGTATGACTTTATCCTATGAATTTGAAGTATAAGAAACAACAAACTTAAATAGCATGGCAGTTCCTGACTTCATTTTTCATTGCTTCTCCTATTCTGGGGAAGCTGCTACCTTGTCAAAATACGATATGTACAAGAGAAAATCCCAAAAGGAAAGTCAAATGACATATGGGACATTCCCATCATGTTGAATTTTGTGGCGCAAAATGGAACTCTGAGACACCATGTACTAGAGATCAGGCCATTGTGCATAACCTTAATTTGAACTTTTTCGTTGCCAGTTTTGTTGTGTCAGTCAGTGTTTGAGTGCTCTGCTGAGTTGGCACTGCCGGAAGCAGGTTGTTCCTTATCAAGTGCTGGCAGGAAATGTTACACCAGAAGGGTGGACACAGAGACCCTGGCTTCTGGGCATTTGCAATGGGAGATAATTTCCTGAGTGTCATGAGACAGTGTGGTTTGTTCATCATGTAAAAAAGCCCAGCTCTTGGGGTATTTTCCTCTGATTGCTAAGTCCACTGCAGAAGAGTAAAAAGATATGATACTTAAAAATAGGATATATCCTGAACTGTTGCAGATGCCATCTGTTCTCAAAGAAACAACTGGCAGAAAAAAATAACCTTGGGTTGAAACCTTGCATGAAGTTGCCATTTAAAATAAGCGGGGTTGGCTTTGTTATTTTTATTTTTTGGAGGTGTAGGAAAAGGGCTGTTTGATGGCAACTGACAGAAAACAGAAATGTGGAACTAGAATGCATGTATTACAGACATGGAGAAAAGTCGTGTTGTGAAGACCTGTTAAATAGCAAACTCGGAGGTCAAAAATCACACTGATACTGAAAAGGACCCATCATGTACTGTTTTAAATGAGCTCATGCAGAAGACTGCAGTAAGATGTCTGCCCACTACCAGAAGGTGGTTTCTAGGGAAAATGTCTGCCTTACTAGTCATAAGCAAGTAAGATCTAATTTTCTAGTTGGGCTCGGTTCTCTGGTGAAAAGCATGGCTTCCTTACCCATTCAAATTTCATCCAGTCTGTCAGCGAGGGGTGGATCAGTAGCCATGGGAATACTGACTCCATCCCCGTATTCTGTTCCCTCATATCACACCCAGAGCCTATGGAACATGAGCAAAGTCTTTTTGGGCTTTGGCTTTGACCTAGCAGTCAGCACTGACTCTTCTGGCTCTGTTGGGGTGTGATTACATGATTGAAAAGAATTGAGTTTTCACACAGTGACAAGTTGCTGTTCCCCAAAGAGCTGCAGTCACTAGCCATGCCATCTGCCCCAAGTCTGACGAAAAATCCCAAGAGACCATTAGTGGACTTGGTCACTTGTGCAGTTTTGGATACCCTTCTGAGAAGTCAAGTGGGATACCTTTATCATATTCCCATGATTTTCTTTGGTATTGGTACAGTCTGAAGGTGAACAACCAGTTACTGAGCTGAGGAGCAACCCACTTGCCTCCTTTTACATGAGCTGTTGTCTTCAGAGCATCTGTGGGCTACATGCAGGTGTAGTAGCATGTGAAATTGGCATGCCACAGTTGAGAGTCTTATACAGGTTAAAGTTCTGAAAATGGCATGCCTGCATTTCAGTGTATTTACTCCTGTTCTACACTAATGTGAAAAGCAGCAGACTTTTATCCAAGACATGTACCAAGAAACTGTATGCAAAGTAAAGAGAATGAAGACGGCATGGTGTTCTCTCAAACAAGAGAGTCATGTTCCAAGGGAGTGTCCTAATCCTGTCAACCTCACTGTTTTTGCTAATCCCAAGTGGCACAGCGTGGTGAGGTAAGACAAGGGGGTTTTAAAGAATAGGCTTGATAGTGATATTTCTGATTCTGTTCTTTTTTTGCATCTCTCAGCCCAGGAATAGCTGCAGTGATGTAATGTTGCTATTTAGATTTTTTCAAAGCATGTTTTGAGTTTGGTGTCTGTAGGATTGATAATTTTACTTTGGAAATGAGTGCACCTAAGGTAAAAGGCTGTGTGCATGCATTTTCAGGCTCTGTCAGTCTACCTGAATTTGATCTGCCATACTTCCAATCCTCTTATCTCCAGTCTGAACATCAGAAGATTTGAATGATACTAGCTTGTGCTCACCTTTGTGACAAGCAGCTGAAGGATGGGACAAATCTACTGAACACATTGTCTGCTGTGCAGGGCAATAAAGCAATAATCTGTTTGCCAGTGCTATGAGCTAGTAGACCTAACTCCTGAGATTAAGACCTTTCGGTATTTGCCTCACAGAATGAGAGATTCTCTTGTGATGTGTTGCCACAGCATGTTTCTGGAGGTAGACCGTAACGTGCTGCAGCAAAACCTGGCTGCATTGCCCTGCAGTAGAGTGAAAAACCACTGCTGCCTCGAGGGTAAAACTCCATGGAAGCATGAGGAGTGATGTGCCTGGAATACTTCACAGTGGGTGGGAGAGCAAGATTCTGATTTCATAAGTGACAACATGACAAAACCCTCAGTTTTGTAGGAACTGTTTCTCCACCGGCCCCCGAAGTATTTTCATACTGAAACAGTGCATCTTACTTACCAGCCCAAGGAGAGAGGTAACACTGAGCCCTGTTTAAGACAAAATATACCGTTCTTGCAACACAGCTCATATTTCTAGATTTGAGCCTTGCATGTGGGTCAACTATAGATAATGTTTTAATAATCTAGCAATATTTCAAAACCACTCTGCTTTTGTTTACAAGCTTTTCCATTCCTTGGCAATGACAGTCTTGATCTCCCATGGCAGACTTTCGATATCTCTGAAGTTGAAGTAAAACCTTGTGTACTCGGAAATATTAGATCAGCCTTTTATTCTTCCTCCTAGCTGTCAAGCTTAATGCATTTTTTAAAGCATTCTGCTTCTTTAAGATACAGCTAAAGTTGTGGGTAGCGAGTATGTAACAGTGTGCATATATTTACTGTACATGTATGTGTTCATGAGAGGCCTGAACTGGAAACTCAGTAAATTTAATAGAAGTTTAGCCCTGCTCCCAGGTTTAGATCTAATTGTGAAGTTTGTAGTTTTGTGGATTTTTATAATGGGTTAAATGAAAACTCAGTTTTTAGGCAATACTACATTTTGGCCCAAAATTTATGAGTTGGTTTGCAGTACATTCCCACTGTGGGCTTCTATGTCTGTATCCTATCACGTTCTCTTCTGTGACTTCCACCTCATATTTGCCATGCTGCCTAATATTTAAATTAGTTCATTAGATACGTCCTTGTTTTAAAAATATAAACTGCATTTTTCAGGCTATGGACCAACATGTTAAAAACCATCTGTGATATCAATTGCTCAACTTATGCTCTCAGAGAAGCCTGTTTTACTTAAGGCAAGTGCTCTGCACTTACAGAAAATGAAGACGGTCATTAAGTACTTCAATTTGCTTTTGAATATTTCAGCTGAGAGTGTATCATTATAGCTTGTATTATATCTAACCCTGTGGGCTCTATTGTTAATGTGACAGGGTCAAGTTCTGTCATTCATTCTAGTTATTTGTGAGCCCGAATGTGGAGTTAGGTGACTGATTTTGAACACATAACCTTGAATACAGGTTCTGAAGTGGTGAGTAACAACTCGAAGAAATTCCACAGCTGGATGCTTAGGCAAAATGTCCCTTTGGCAGTTCAGGTTAATGTGATTACCAGGAGAGGCTTCTTTTTCCTGAAGCATTTATTCCAGATATGCTTTGCTCTCACCTGCTTGGCTGACTGCAATCCATCCTTGCTCTTCTGTATATAAATAAGCTGAATTGTTAGATAGCAAAGTAGGAATTCTCTTCTGCTATCAGAATGGTCTTTAAAGAGCATAAGAATATTTCTGACTATAACAAAATGTATATTTCTAGGTTGTATTTGGTAAGCCACACTGGTATGGCCATGCTGTTGGTTATCTAAAATTGTTTCATTGTAAAATGCAGCAGAACTGACGTAGAAGTGAAGGGGGAAATGCATGTCACACAAAAATTCTGTATTTACAAAGTGACCTTCAGCACTGCAGGGGCATTTTAGAGAGGAACATTAAGGCTGATAAACCTTAGTTGTAAAGCTCTTAAGAATTTTAGTCCTTTAAAACATATTTGATGATCAGTATCTTATGCCATGTGGGAAGAAAAAAGGACTCCTCAACACAACAACTTCAGATAAAAAATCTCTGATGCTTTCTTATTTCATGCTCATTCTGTCCTCATTCACTGGAAGTCACGGGCATCTTGATTTAAGCACTGAAATAGGCAAGTTTTCTGCAGGTCAGTGGGCATTTCTACTCTGTCATTTAGCTCAGAGAGAACAAAAAAAACATACGCCATCACCGCCCACGCCTGGGCTGTGAGTTTTTTAGACTAATGCTTAGATTTAACCCTTGAATAATGTAACCCCACATTCAGGTTCTTCAGTTGTGTCTTCTTTTTTCTCCCCAGAATTTGAGGATTTCAAACTTCTTGAAGAATTCCAAATAGTTTGGAATGGTTGGAGCAGAAGTAATTGCTTCTATTGCATAAATAAATTTCGGCTGACAGCCACACCTTCTCTGCACACACTCTGAAAGCTCTGTATATTCCCTACTGCTCCAAATCCAGCCAGCATGGGGCATGGACAGTGAAAAGTTTGAGCCTATGATAGTCTGTGTACAAGTGCTCTTCTGCATTTCCCAGTTAACACTGTGGCTTGTGTCTGTCTTGCAAAGCTGCTGTCAGCCACTCAAAGTGGCCCATTCTTCCAGTAAAGATTTTAGTTGCCCAGAAGATGTCTTTTGTTGTCAACTGTGGCGTATTGCAACTCTGAAGAATTCCAGTATCTTTGTGCAAGACTGTATTGGCAATTACAATTTGTGTAAGACATTGAATCATCCTGTCCAAACCATCTTTGGGCATGTACAGACTTGGCTGTTCACTGAACTTTGCTCAGCCACCTATTTCCACCAGTTCCTTCCTCAGGTCATGGCTTTGGTCAAGCAAGACTCCAGGCTCACTTCTGTGCTTCTAGTTTTTCCTAGAAATGCCTGTACCCACACTGGATTAGTTTGTTGTCAGCATTCTCTGATTTGTTGTTAGTGCCTTGTTAAGTGAGACACCAGCAGTTTTGGGGCCAGTTTGCTGATGGAGTACAAAAATTAACACATTAATATGAAGCAGCTCTATGCCAGGACTGGGATGGTCCCCACACTTCAAGTTAATGTAGTTGGTTTGTATTTTTATAGAAACGTACGTTGAAAGTTTTCACGAGCCTTACTTGGTTTAGTTCTTACTTGCTACATTTTTTTTTGTGTTTTGGTTTTGGATCACCTTAAAATTTCTCTTTTCATACTAAGTTCCCAGCTTGGCTAAACATGTGAGTGTATCAGCATCCATAATAAAATACAAAGACCTCATTAACACACCTTTCTTTATAAAATAGTTGGGATTGTGAAATTCTGATTGTATAGTTGGTGGATGAGTTACCAAGATAGCAAAGTTTCCTCAGAATGAAGGTCTGCTGCTCTGCCTAGCTGATTAGCTTTCCCATTTCGTGACCACATGGTTACAGCTGGAATTAAAAAGCTAAAGAAAAAATTTACTCCTTCATTTAGCAAGAGCTTGTGGCCAAATTTAATCACCTGGAGCCAGTGACACTGCAGAAGCGCAGAACATTGTTGCTGATAACACTCTCAAATTTGTAGCCATTATCACACTAGCCAAGCATGCAGAAATGGTAGAATTGTGTTAAGTAATATTCTGCTCACTGAGAGAAATGTCTGACCAGAAACACAAAACCCCCTTGTATTGGCTGATGAAGTTGATCGAGGTGCCCAGAAGCAAATGAGATTCTGAAACTGTCACCTTACTAAAGCAAAGAAAAAACCATAATGCTGGGGCTCGATTCATGCTTAGCTATGCTTTACCTGAACAGCTATTTCTGTTCTTACTTTATTTTATGCTAGAAAAGCAGTTTCTGGATAAAGATCTTAAGTTTTCAAACAAAACTTTCTTTTCCAATAAAAGTCTGTGTCCTTCGAAATTTTTTTAAATACAAATATATTTTAAAAAATGTACAAAATACTTTTCTTAAATCAGCTTTCTTCACTTTCAAATATGAATAAAGAAAACAATAGGTTTTGACGAATAGATGTGAATAGGGCACTCAGCCGGAGTGTTGAGTTTGGGGTGAATATGGCCCATTTCAATAAATGCGTAAGAAAAGGGTTATTACACTCAGCTCTGAACCAGGAAATAACGTCCTTGCAGTGACCCCCCTTTCTTTTCAGCCTGTCATCTACAGTTTCAGATGGTAGCAATGATTCTAGTATTTCTTACTGAGAAATGGGGACATTAATATTCTCACAAAGAACTCACAACAGTGACTCTAAATTACATGGCACTCTGCAAACAGAGCAGAAGGTGTTTCCATTGTTGGGCAGTTTAACACAGGGCCTTCATCCCGTACTGTATTATCCATGTTTCACCTCATTTTGAGTAATATCATTGTGTCGAATAACAGTGTTGTGGAAGCTATAGCACATTTCCTCCTGCAGAGAGAGCTGCCAAGAGTGCCTGTCCATGCAGGTGAGCTGTCCTTCATGGTCTGTGGCTTATCCTGTGTGAGAGCAACGAGACATAAGGTCTGGACTGAAATCTTCAATTTTCCTGGTGATTTATCTCCTTGTAGGTAAATCTTGGTTTTTAATGAGATTTATGAGGATTAACTCTTTCTTAGCCTTTAAAATATCTGTCTGCTTTATCGTCTTTACTGACAGTGATGTCAGGTTTGGAGAAGTTTCTTTTGCTTCAACTGGGGCCATTGTTTCGGGTGTGAGATTTTTTTTTGAGTATGGGATTTTTTCTAGATAACCAGAGTATCAGATTGAACATTTTGTGGCCATTAGAGAAGGACCCTGTCGAACAGCCTGCGTTCAATGTGAGGGGAGGACAGTATGTTCAGCTGGCATGTCTGTTTTACAGGGGACCCTCCTAGGAGTTGTTCCTCCTAACAGTGGTAAATAGCAATAACTGTTACTTACTCAGGACAGATGAAGACAAATTTACATAATGACAGTACATTCAGCTGGAGCCAAGTCATTAAGTGGTTCTTAAATTCATATTACAGTCTAAACTTTTGGAAGTTTCCGAGTAATTGTTCAATGAAGATGCAAGACAACAAATGTAATTTTTAATTGTTGAATTTTAAATGTTTTTTTCCCATGTTTTATGTCTCTTGACACTTATTTAGACTAAGGTTTTTAATAGCTTTTCTTTTTACAGCTGTTAAAATAGACCAATTCAGTGTTTATCAAGATGTCTCAGTCCAGATTTTAGCATACTGCTGTTGGCAGGTAGAAGTACAATTTTTTCACATGCTTTAAGTACAGGGGTTTCTCTGCGGGCAGTTTTTCTACACATTCTTGGAAAAGCTGTGACACAACTGTGTTGCTTGGTTACCTGGTTACTGCAGGCATGGACTAGTGACTAGTGGAGAGGGTGGAGGAGGCTACATTCTTGGGTGCTGTCCCATCCTTGGCATGCGGTTCCAGGAATCAGTACTAGCCTTTGCTAGAACAGTACTCATCTTTGAGGTGGGGGACCAAAATGCATGTGGAAATAGAGGTACCAAAGTGCTAGGTTAGGGGGAAACAACCCTCAGAGAAATGGAGGAGTTGGTGGAGTTGGTGGAGCACTGCGTATATTCTTGAGAAGCTCTGCAGGGTTGGGACCTTCCCCACTGTTACTTCTGTATTTCCAAGACCATCCCCATGGGGAAAGGGATGAGGTCTGAATGATGATGTAACTCAGCATTGTTACTGGTTTGATTCCCACCTGAACACTGCCTGTGAAATACTACATCTTCTTGACAATAAATCAGCTGCTGCCTGAAACCTTTGAGTTTGAGGTAAAGGGAAACCTAGAAGTTGTGTGTGTACTTGCACAAGTAAGAGAAGGGCTGGTGGATAATCACAGTCTGTGTGATAAAATGAGTTAAAAAAATACTACTGCAGAGTCTGATTTAGAACAGATCTGACATGTCTTTCAAGTAGGATATTGGGGTGACAGGTAGTTTGGCCACAAATATTTTCTCACTGATATTCTGGATCAGGTGCATTGGTTAATCATGAATGAGAACCAGAAAACATTGTTTAGAAGATCATATGTGTACTTAGAGGAAGAGAGCCAGAGTCTCTACCACCTTAGGACAACAGCTTTATTTTGAAGTTACCTAAGTACGGCTCTGTGCCAACCTGAAACATGAGTCTCTTTTGGCTAATATTACAGAATATTTCCCTTCTGAGGGCAAAATGATGGCTATATGGTTTGGTTTTATGAAGGAAAAGTTGGTAGTTTTAATAGATGGGTATGCTTGTTACAACGCAACTTGTATGTCAGTGAGAACTTGAAAGCACTTACCTTTCTTAACTTTTACATGGTCCTGAGACAAGGGAAAAAAGAATTCTATCAAGCATTTTCATAGCTCTCAGATTGGAAGTCAGTAATGCTCCTATCTTTATTTGGTGTGACATAATGCTATAAAGCCATTCCAGCTTTGAGTGTAAAAATGAGGAGCCTGAGACCCGTGCTTTACCATTTGTCTCCCTGGCAGGGCAGGGCTAGGTTTCCCTGTGCTCTGGAAGGATGCTCACAGAATGATTTTCACAGCCTTGCTGCAGTGTTCTGTCTCTGCTGGCAGAGCAACATGTTGCCACAGGTCTGAGTATTTCCACGCACACTTTGTTTCTCAGCCTGTGCATTCATTTATGCATGCAGAGGAACTGTGGCCAAATGCTGTGCACGAGGTGGACATGGCGGTTCGCTGGGAGACCATGGAGCAAGGCGAGCAGGAGCCTGGGCATGGCTCTGACTGCATGCCAAAAAGTCAAGCTTCTCTTGAATTTAGGTGTGCGGCTAATAAATTAATAGTGCCTAGAAAGCAGCTCTGTGGAAAGGGACCTGGGGGTCCTGGTGGCCAGCACACTCAATATGAGTGAACAGGGTGCAGCTGTGGCAAAGAAAGCCAACAGAATGCTGAGTTGCATCAACAAGGGCATCAACAGCAGAGATAAAGAAGTCATCATCCCGCTCAGTGCTTGTCAGGAATACTGTGTTCAGTTTTTGTTCCTGCTATGCGAAAAGATGCAGACAGGCTGGAGAGGGCCCAGAGATGGGCCACAAAGATGATCAAATGACAGGGAAGCCTGTCGAATGAGGAGAGGCTGAGAGATCTGGATTTGTATAGCCTTGAGAAAAGAAGGCTCAAGGGAGACCTATCTAAAGTTTTTAAAAGGTGGCTACAAAGAAGATGGAGACTCCCTTTTTACAAGGAGTCACATGGAAAAGATGAGGCATAATAGGCATACATTACTCCTGGGGAGATTCCAATTGGACACAGGAAGAAAATTTTTTACAATGAGAACAATCAGCCATTGTAATAATCTCCCCAGGGAAGTGGTGGATTACTCAATATTGGACACTTCTAAGATTCAGCTGGATAGGGTACCGAGTCATCTTGTCTGCACTGTGCTTTTGCGAAGAAAGATTGAACCAATGATCTTTGAGGTCCCTTCCAACCTTGTGACAATCAGCGATCAGTTTCCTTCATTACCTTACTTTTCACCTTTCAGTCTTTGGCTGTGCTGTGTGCTGCATGCTGCTGGTATCAAGGACCATGAGTAAAGTGGAGGTCAGTCTCTCAGCTACTTGTAGTTTAAATGCAGGATGGAGAGAGAGAGAATTGTATCTTTTGAAATACCTTAGCTGCTTCATGGGCAGGCTGCCTGAAATCTGGGAATTTACCTTGCTAAACATACACGGAATGTGGCACTTAGCTTAAAATGAAGACTCCTCTTTCTCCTCCCCTGGAAACCTCTTCAAATCTCAGCACACCCACACACTGAAGGTCGGGCTCATTTGATGTGTACCCAAGATCTCCCTGGGTGGTACAACACCCTGCCTCTGCACAGCTTTCCTCTTAATCTGCTGTGCTGGGCTTTTTTTTGCAGTTTCTCAGAAGCACTTTACACTATTTCTGTGAGAAAAAGGGTGAATTCTTAAAAACTATGTACTGCCTGTCTTTCTAAACAAACATGGGGTTTGTCTTAATGTGAATCTGTAGCCTTTGCTGAAGTATTTGTTGATATGCTAGACATACAAAACCAAAGATTTTTCTCTATGAAACATTCTGTCTTCTAACTCTTACTCTTATGGTAAGCCTCAAGTCCTGCTCAAATTCCCATTTTGGTTATCCAGCCCACTTTCAGCATAATGCTGAAATAGAGTGAAGGCAAATTATGTTATAGCTGTCATAATGAAGACTGCTATTAGCACAGTAATAATGGGATGATTCCTAGTTGGTGGAGTCAATACATTCAGGGCTGAATTATAGTATCTCTTGATAATACTTTTGGTAATCTCATATGAATAGCTTGCATAAAGAG